TATATATATATATATATATATATATAATTTTTTTTTTTAAGTCCTGATTTCGTTCCATTTCTATGGGGTTGATTATGGGGTCAACCCATTCAAACTCAGGTTTCCCTCCATGTAGGATGCGGATGAGTTTGCTGCAGGTTCTCTTTTGAGATCTTTCATTGAAACAGATATATTTTGGCCCCTGATCCCCTGACTCCGTTCTGTGCTCCCCTGTGGCTTTCTTAGAATCCTTAGCGTTAAATCAACACTTCCAGCCGCCCTTCCTGACAGCGCTGGTCCCCAAAACGCTTGTGTCCCGGATGGGGGGACGCTGGTCAGAAGGGGCCTCGGGGAGGGAAGGGAGCTGTGTCAGAAAGGACTTTCCTCCCCGTCCAGCCCTCTCCCAGAAGATGGATGGCACGTCCCCGAATAAATTAATGACACAATTAAAGTTTCCCTAACGGGGATATGACGCGGATGTCATGTCCTGGTGCGTCTGTCTGCCGGGGACCTCTCATAGTTCCCCGGCCGCTGATGGACTCTTTCTATAAAAATAAATTACTTGTAATTTAATTCCACACTATTTCTTTCCGTACTTTATTAAGGAGTAGGACCTTAGCAGCGTGGGAGGACACCGGTGACCGTGGGGTGCGTGTGGAGACCCTGAGAACCCCCCGTAAAAATAAAACAGGCTTCGGGGGGGGGGGAGAGAAGGCCAAAGGCGATCGATCCAGGAGGCCCAGGGAAATTGAACCCCGGTAAATAATAAGAAAAACAAATATGGGAACACAATGAAAGTCATCATTCTCGATGGCCCGCAGGGAACGCCGTCCCGTCAGGCTGGCCAGCAGGGTTCAAGCCCTCCTGAAAAATCAATGAGCCCGAACAGGGACGTCACCCCGTGGACGCGGTCAGGGTGCAGGGGACGGGGTCCAGGAGGGGTATTTTCATCCCATGTATCCGAGAGGGCTTGGGTAACCTCTCCCCGGACACCGTGTACCCCACGCTCGGCCGATGGAGTTTCCATTGACTGTGGAACTGGGCCGTAAATAAATTGGCCACGCAGACGGAGCTGTTGGTCATTAACCTTTTATGTTTGGCGAGGCCGGGGAAGCTCATATCGCCCAGCTGTCGGCGTCATAATGGAAAGTTATGAGACCACGGTGAGGGGCGGGCTGTAATTTAATTACAACAGATATCTGCGGGTGGATGGCGCGGCGCTAAATTAAATGTCATTATTTACTGTCTCTAATGGAAATCAAAACGAAATCGCATTACCGGCGTCGGGGAGAGAAATCCGTGACTGCTGTTTAATGAAGAAATAAGTGTCTAAAACAGTGTAACACACTTCACTTACCATATTCAGGCCTAATTGGAATTGATCGTCAATCACTCGGGCCCTGATTTATTATTTATTTTTCCCCCCCTCGCTCCGTGAAAGGGAGAGTGAAGCAGGATTTCCAGATTTCAAGAGGATTCTGTTTCTTTTTTTTTTTTTTTTTAATGGCCTTCCAGGGACTTCTGGGTGGCCGGCTGGCCGTGGGGCATGGCGGGGCGCGGTGCATGGCTTTGGGGATCTCAAGGCGGGCTTTGGAAACAGGGCAATTATGGGTGAATTTAAATGTTAGCCCCAGGCTGGGGGCCTTTTTTTGGGGGGGGGATAGGGAGCCTTACTTTGCTGGGGGAGAGGATAAACTTTTCCAGCTGCCCTGCGTCCCTGCGGGAGGCACTTAGGAAGCGAAAATCCCATTCCGAAAGGTCCGAGGGACGCTGGGTCCTGGGTTCAAGACCAGCCTGTTTTGTTTCCAAACTCCCAGGGTCTTCTGAGGTTTGCTTCCCAGGGGCACCCACGGTCCCCTGTTGTGCCGCACCCCGCTTCCTGAAGGCTTCCCCCAAGACTCAGAAGGCGTAAGAGGAGCAGAACGCCCCTTCCACGCAGCTGTTCCTCGGGGGCCCTCTCCGGGATGTGCATGAGTCACATAATATTAATGGAGCCCCTGCAGCTGCCCAGGGCTTCCGAGGAGGCCACGGGGAAGGGAAAGGCATTTTCTGGGTTCGGGAGGTCTTAGGCCATGTGCTCACCCCCTACGTGGGTAAAGTATGAAGGTGGAAAGTCAGGGTCTCCCTCCGGGTCTCCAGGCGTATGTTGGGGTTCGGGGTGCCCACACAGAACACTGCGAAGTTGCAGAGTGCATGTCCACTGTCTCGGAAGGCACTTTTTCATTTTAAATTCATCAGTGTGGACTCACAAGTCTGACTTCCGTGGGGCAGAGAGGGTTTAGCCATGTCCAGTTCTAGGCCAAGCTCATCCCAGGACTTTGGGAGGCCGTGGCGGGCGGATCACCTGAGGTCAGGAGTTCAAGACCAGCCTGGGCAACGTGGAGAAATCCCGTCTCCTCGAAAAATAGAAAA